CAAAAAATTTTGAAAATTTCATAATAAAATATTTAAAATTTCCAGCTTCAGCCGTTTCCAGCTTCAGCCGCAACAGTAATTATTAATTTTTTAATAGCAGAATTTGCCTACTTATTCTATAGAACATCCTAAAGTTGTAGAGCTTATTGAAACAAATCTAATAATAGTTAAATCATCAAAATTAGCTAGTAGATGCCAAGATATCTTTAAAAACATTTCACTGTCTATATAAAATTCTTTAAGAACAATACAAAGAATTTTTATTTAGTTAGCAAAATGTTTTTCAAAGATATTTTGGCATCTACTAGGCTAATTTGAATAATTTAACTACTATTAGATTTGTCTTGATAAGCTCTACAACATTATTTAAAGACTCAAAGATAATTAACAGTATAAAAAAAGTTTTTCTTGAACTATTACTAGAAAATTTTTCTTTTGTATCTATAGTGATTTATATATAGAACTGTGTCACATTACACTATAATCATTCTTCAGTTCACTGAAGAATTATTAATAGATGATTTTCTAGTAAATTGAAGAATTCTCATAGTATAATGCAATGTGGTTCTATAAGTAAATCATATAGATGAAAATGTAGAGATTTTTTAAAAAAATGTAGCATTTGTTTAAAGAAACTTTTTTCTTACTAAGTAAATTATTTTTGGGCTTTTAACAAAAGTTTAAAGCTTATCAAGATGCATCTAATAGTAGTAAAAACGTTAAAATTGGCTTAGTAGTTCTTGAGAAATCTTTAAAAAACGTTTCATCAATATATAAAATTTCTTTTAAAGAAAATCAATTTTTTTAAAAAAGATTTTATATAGTCAGCAAAATGTTTTTTAAAGATTTCTCAAGAACCACCAAGCCAATTTTAATGTTCTTACTATCATTAGATGCATCTTGGTAAGCTTTACAACTTTTTTTTTAAAAAATTTTAAAAGATGAGGCTATGCATCTAACTTTACAACTTTTGTTAAAAGTCTAAAGGTGATTTATTTAATAAAAAAAAAGGTTTCATTGAATAAATACCACATTTTTATCTTAAGTGATTTATTTTTTTATTTTTTATTTTACCTTTTACAACTAACCTCTTTGAGGTTAGGGTTTTTATTCAAATATTAAGTCAAGAGCTCACGGCCGAAACCTCAAAGGAACCTTTTTACATTAGAGAGTACTTTCTAACCATATTTATACCTTTTGAACGTCTAATTAAGTAGTTCTTTATTACTAAGTTCTACACTAGATGCCATATCTGTAACCCACTATTACTTGAATTATCCAATTAAACTCTCTGTAACGCAACTTGTATCTGTATTACTATTATATCTTTGCTACGTATGTTAGTTGAGAAGTCTCAGATTCTTTACCCATTCTTTTAGGACTACTTTATCCTCGAGGTATTGTTACTAGAGCTTTTTATACTCACAATCTGGCTAACCTAGATTCAGTAACTTATGCCAAGTCTAAGGACAAGTACTTGCGAGCTAAGGCTGCTACCGTTACCTACTTCTGCCCTTGTAGAGTTTATCCAAACCCAGCACCCACTATACGAACTATCAACCATACTTCCGGTTTTCTCCAAACTTATAAATCAAATAGGCCGGAAGGGCAGAACCCTTTTTCCAGCTAACCTGGCAGCCTGGTTAGTATGTGTTTGCCAAACATCTTGGTTCTGCTCAGTTGTTCCCTTTTTCTAAATGATTTTTCTTTACGTAGTACTGTCAAAAGTTTGTGCTATCTCTCTACTCAGATCTTGCCAAGCGGGCTTTCATATACTCCACACCCCTGGATTTATCTGGCTACTTCACTCAGGATTTGTGTAACTTATTCGTTATACTAATATTCTACAGCCTCCTAGTACAAGCTGGTATAACCAAAACTACAGATCCATCGATCTGTGCAGTTATGCACAGTATATCATAATGTATTCTATAAAATTCAAATTTCATTGCCAGTAGGATTCAAACTCTTGTCCTGCCACTTTGGGGTGTGACAACTTACCAACTTCACTAAGTCGCCACACCCCTGTCTTAAATGATTTATATATAGAACTGAGTTGTATTTTACTATGATAATTCTTTAGTTCACTAGAGAATTATTAATTAATTAAGATAATAATATCTAATAATAGTGCTATAAAATACTTTTTTTTTTTAATTTTAAAAGATGAGGCCATGCCTCTAACTTTATTGAAATTTAATTAAGTTCCTTTATAAGAAATATGTACAAGAAAGAAATTATATTTGAACCTTATATTCAAAGGATATTAAGACTAGAGATTTAGATACAATGTTACTATATATAATAATATAATTATCTGTGGCCTAAACCTAGCTATAAAATACTTCTATATATTTTACAAAAGAAAATTATAGATGGCGACGTCATGGCGATCCCTATATGATCGACCAATCATTTTTTAGATTGGCGATCATATAAGTAGATCATAGATCATAATTTTTTTTTTTGTTTTGCTTTGCTATTTGTTTTGCTTTTTGTTTTGCTTTTGCTTTGCTTTTCACTTCACTTTTTGTTTTTGCTTTGCTTTTTGTTTCGATATTTTTTGCTTTTTGTTTCGCTTTTAGCTTTGCTTTGCTTTTTGCTTTGCTTTTTGCTTTGCTTTTTGCTTTGCTTTTTGCTTTGCTTTTTGCTTTGCTTTTTGTTTTGCTTTTTGCTTTGCTTTTTGCTTCACTTTGAACAGGTTTGTATTTAGTTTTTTTTTTGTTTTTTTTTCTTTATTTCTTTATTTTAAAACTAACAATTTTTTTTTTTGTCTTTTCGTTTCTTTAGTCTTTTTGTTTCTTTAGTCTTTTTATTTCTTTTTTTTTTCATTTCTTGTTCGTTTTCGGTTTTATTTTTTTTTTCTTTTCATTTCCTTTCTATTCGGTTCTTTTTTGTTCTTTTCCCATTTCTTTTCTTCTTTGCTTGTTATTCTTTTCGTTTCTTTTCCTTTGTTCTTTTCTCTTCGTTCCTTTTTTTTTTCTTTCCTCTTTCGTTCTTTTTTCTTTCGTTATTTTTTTTTTTCTTTTTCTTTTCGTTTTTTTTTTCTTTCGTTATTTTTTCTCTTTTTATTTTTTATTTCTTGTTTTCTTTTCGTTTCTTTTTTTTTTGTTTTCTCTTTTTCTTATTCTTCTATTTTACTTTTTCTTTATTCTCTTCAGTTCTTTTCTTTATTCTCCTCGGTTCTTTTTCTTCGTTCTCTTCGGTTCTTGTCTTTTTCTTCATTCTCTTCGATTCTTTTTCTTCGTTCTCTTCGGTTCTTGTCTTTTTCTTCGTTCTCTTTGGTTCTTGTCTTTTTCTTCATTCTTTTCGGTTCTTGTCTTTTTTTTCGTTCTCTTTGGTTCTTGTCTTTTTCTTTGTTCCCTTTGGTTCTTTTTCTTCGTTTCCTTTGGTTCTTGTCTTTTTCTTCGTTCTCTTTGATTCTTGTCTTTTTCTTCGTTCCCTTCGGTTCTTTTTTTTGTTCCCTTCAGTTCTTGTCTTTTTCTTCCCCTTTCGTTTTCTTGTCTTTTTTTTCTCTTTTCGTTTTCTTGTCTTTTTTCTTTCCTTTTCATTTTTTTGTCTTTTTTTTCCCTTTTGTTTTTTTTGTCTTTTTCTTCCCCTTTCATTTTCTTGTCTTTTTCTTCCTCTTTCGTTTTCTTGTCTTTTTCTTCTCCTTTCAGTTTTTGTCTTTTTCTTCTTCTTTCGTTTTCTTGTCTTTTTCTTCCTCTTTCATTTTCTTGTCTTTTTCTTCCCTTTTCGTTTTCTTGTCTTTTTCTTCCCTTTTCGTTTTCTTGTCTTTTTCTTCTCCTTTCAGTTCTTGTCTTTTTCTTCTCCTTTCGTTTTCTTGTTTTTTTCTTCCCCTTTCGTTTTCTTGTCTTTTTCTTCTCCTTTCGTTTTTTTGTCTTTTTCTTCCCCTTTTGTTTTCTTGTCTTTTTCTTCCCCTTTCGGTTCTTGTCTTTTTCTTCCTCTTTCATTTTCTTGTCTTTTTCTTCTCTTTTCATTTTCTTGTCTTTTTCTTCCCCTTTCGTTTTCTTGTCACTTTCATTTTCTTATTTTTCCTTTGTTTTTTTTTTTTTTTTTTTTTTTTTTTTTTTTTTTTTTTTTTTTTTTAATATTGTACTTATTTTTATAATGTGTAATGGTATCGACAAAAATATCTCACTATGTTAGTCACTTATATTTTTACTTTTACATTGTTGTTACTTTTACTTTTTTTATTTATTTATTTATTTATTTACTTTATTTATTTTTGATTGATTATGTTGGGTTGTTTATTATTATTTATTTATTTATTTATTTTTTATTTTTCTTTATATATTTATTTATTTTTTTTAAAACCCTGATTATGCTTTTAAATGTTTGCTCTGCTTGGATCTCAGGTTAGTACCATAGCTGTTTGCAAAGCATTTTTGCTTCTAATTGCTCATTTTTTTACAGAACAGGTATGTGTGCACTCTTCAGTATTTCTTGTCATCACCACAATTTCTTCTATTTCAGTTTATACAGATTTCTCTGCCATTGAGGAGCATGGTTTGCTAAACCTTTGCCTCTTAGTAGTTATTACATCAAAGTTTTTTTCTTCAGCTTCAATATTCTTATCAAATAGTATAGTATGAGTCAGTGATTCTTATCATATGCCATTATAGTGGCAAACTTGTACTAAACATATAGATTGTTAATGTGATCTTAGTAAAAATTTAGCTCTTGCTTTCTTTTATTGTAGATTATAAGAACAGCTTTGATATACACTTTAAAAGCTAATAGCCATTCAGATATATCATTGATTCTACTATATATTAGTTGTTTCTAAATAGCTATGTATCCACCCTCTGAAGCCTGCAATAGTAGATTATTATAATAATACTTTGCACTTACTTTTATATTTTTGTAGGCGAATTCAGTAAGCTCAATGTAGGTGCCAAATGCTATTGATTTCTATAGTCTTGAAGACAAATTGGTTTGCAAGATAGTATTTTGATCATTTTTTGTCCTTTGGTCTAGTTGGATATCCACCATAACCTTTTGCTTTCTATACGAGCTGCTAATTAGTTTGAAAACTCTTTAACTATTGGTAACTATTTTGGCATTGAGTAATTTATTGATGGATATTTCCAGGCTTTATTTTTTGTTATTGGTGATTCATTGCTTGTATGTGTTGTTGAATCTGGCAGGCCTGCATTAATTATTATACTGTTAAGTAGAAGAGTAGATAGATAATTACCTTGTAGAATATCATCTGGTGGTGAGGATACTGTTATTGGTGTTATGTAGTTGTTGTTATTTTCTTTAATAACCCAGTTGTTGCCTGAATCTATTTCATTATTCATCATACTGACCTGTTCTAATTTGTTAAAATGCTCATTTATATTATTTTGCATTTGTTCATTCCAGTGTCTTTGGGTTTAGTTTGTTAACTTATTAGTTCCTTCACCTTTTCTAATAGTGTTGACATAGTTGCTTGGCATGCATTATCGATATACTCTTTTATTTGTTGGTTCATGTTTGATGACAGATTTTTGAGTTTAGTAGACATTTTTACTTCCTTTCTTTTCACTTTCTCTCGTCTCTTCTTACTTTTTTCTTCCCTTTTTTTTTCAAAAAGAAGTCTGATCAATTAGGTTCAACACTGAAAAAATCAAGTGTTTAGTGTGTGGGTTTTTTTATTATTGATTGTTTTTTTTTAAAGTCTTCTTTGAGATTCATTGTTGAGGCTTGTATTGTTTGTATTTCACTATCATATGAAGCAGAATACTTGTATATGATTTCACTTTTCCGTTAGCTTCTTGTTTTAGAATTGGCCTTTCGTGAGTAATTCTGTAACTTATGGTGTGGGTATACCAAATTCACTTTTTAATCACGTGATTCATTATCACTATATATATAGAATATATATGTATATATTATTTATTATCTGTGCTATACATTATATTCTGATCTGATCCTCCAAAATTTTTTATCATAATCAGGTTGTATTTATACTTTTTTATTATCATATGATTGTGGTTTTAAGAAAATGAATATCCTATTATACTATTATCACAATTACAATTGCTTCCTATAGCTCAAAATTAATATTGCTAAATTTGGTATGACAATTGGCATAGCCTCAACTTTGTCTGATTTATGCATCATAATTCAGATTGTAGATCCTGTTTGCTAATTGTTCTTTCCTTTTGTAAATTTTTTTTAATGAGGCTTCTATCATTTTTTTATATAGGAGGCTTCTTTGTAAGGCCTTAATGCTTCTTGAGATTATGTCTTAGTCACTTTGCCTTAAAGCTGTAATGCCATCATGCTGTAATGCTGAAATCTGTGATGCTGTAATGCCACAATGTCTAATTGGCTGCATAAAACCTGTATAGTTAGTAAGTTCTCTATATACAACAATTTTTTTTTACAGTAAATAATGATACAAATTACTGACTTATCGAACATTAATTCTAAATATTCTGCTTGCTTTTTTGTTAATTTTACAGCGAGTAGGTTCTTTATATACAATAGTACAAATCAATGCTCTATCAAATAACTAATCCACTTATTTTTTTGTCACTTCTACAGTAAGTAAGTCTTTATATAGTTTTTTTTTTTACAGTAAATAATGATACACATCAATGTCCTATTGAACATTAATTCTAATTAATCTACATACTTTTTTGTCACCTATATAGTCTGTAAGTTCTTTAACTTTTTTTTTTACAATAAATAATGGTACACGCCAATGCCCTAACGAATAGTAATTCTAACTAATCCACATACTTTTTTGACACTTCTACAGCGAGTAAGTTCTTTACATGCAACTTTTTTTTTTACAGTAAATAATGGTACACATGAATGTCCTATCAAACGTTAATTCTAACTAATCCACATACTTTTTTGTCACCTATATAGTCTGTAAGTTCTTTACATGCGACTTTTTTTTTACAGTAAACAATGGTACACATTGATGTCCTATTGAACGCAACGCTAATTCTAACTAATTCATATACTTTTTTGTCACCTATATAGTCGGTAAGTTCTTTACATGCGACTTTTTTTTTTTACAGTAAACAATGGTACACA